ATTGTCATAATTAATTTTGAATACAAACAAGTTTTGGGGTTGAACCAACAGTGGGGAATCAGTCTACCGAATGTCTTTGATAGATGTAAATATCTAACAAAACATTGGTGCCTAATTTGTTTAATTATTTTAAGGGACATAATTTCCAGCTTTATTCAAAGTAATTCAGATATTTTAGTATAAAAACAAATGCCTCATCGCAAAAAAAAAGTGCTGCATTTAGACGTGAATATATTCATAAAACATGCAAGATAACCCCCCATTGAAAAATTTATTCAATTTGTTTTTGTGTCAAGGTCCCAGGATATCCAAAGTATGTACCAAGTTTGAACAAAATCAATCCATAAATGCTTGATTTAGATGATTTTTCAGCACAAAAATGGCTCAAATAGTAAAACAAATATATTTGTACAATGTTGTGACATTGTCTAATTGGTGGTGGGAATTGTCAAGCCAGTTTATAAAATAGTGAACACAAATTTTCGTAAATATTACTGTCACAAAATACGCCCATTGCGAAGTGTCTTGTCAATATATAAAATTTGAACACAATCAGTCAAAGCATGGCAGAGATATGGCACTGGAACTGCATTCATTAAAACAAAATGGCTGCCAGTCGGTCATTTTAAATCTGACTTCCATCAAGGTCCCATAATGTCCAACGTATGCAGTGTGTTTGAACAAAATCCATCCATAAATGCTTGTTTTTTAATGATTTTTCAGCACACAAATGGCCACCATTCAGCCATCTTGAATCAAATCGTAGAACAAATTTATGTGCATATGTATAATATTATGAATGATGTATGTGTGAAGTTTGAATGTAATCAGTCCAGGCATGTGTAAGATATACAATGTAGGTCAAATCAAAAGTCCTCATTTTTGGACTGCGTCCGAACAGGGACTAAAAACAAACATGGCTGCCACCAGGGTTGGACCGGAATGCACACAAAGAAGTTTGCTCATTCGGCTCTAAACTTTTTGGATTTCGGCACTCCCATGATGTATTCTTGGAAAGAAAAGACGTATATTGACAAGACATAAATGTCACAGTCCCTGTTATTTAATTAAAAAATACTCATTTTAAAATAATACATGGAACATCTGCAAACAATTGAATTAATATGTACTCTATGTGGGTACAACTCATCATAAAGTGATTTCCTTAATTTGATAACTGAAAACTTTCATTGACGTGGGTCCAAAATCTCAGAGTACACAAGTGCAACCAAACTACATGTCTCATACATGCTCAAGAAAATGCATTTATAAATCTGAGTAAACCTTGATGTACCTTTAATAACAACTTGAACTTCTTTGTTAATTCAGGTCTTTGTATATTACCAGGACCTGGGTCTGTTTCAGTATCACTACTATAATTCCCATCTAAATGAGCTCTCTACATTTTCTACTGAAATTGGTAATGGTATGATCCATCTGTCACTGATTCAGATTAAGGTCATGACCAGGTCATGACATCACTAAAAACCCTAGCATTACAATCTAAGCTAATTATTTATTCTGAGCATGCTCAATTGTTCTCTCAGTGTCACTGGGAGAGGTAATTTTGAATGAAAATCATGAAAAAGACCCACTTAGGATTTTCAGATCTGGAAAAAAAAATTATGTGCATAATTCGGCAAAGACTTGTTCATCAACCTGCCAAGTTTCGTTGATATCTGCTGCAGAATTTCTGAGAAAATGTTAGAAACATCACAGACGGAAAATTGAAATAAGAATTAATAGTCCGCCTTTCAAATGGGGACTAATAAGGTTATTACAAAGATACCTCAAAGTGTGCACTAGTATGCCGTTGCATCAACCTTCACTGCTGTGTCGATCGAAACTGCCATTGTACTGTCTTCGTGCATACTTTGTGGTATCCTCGTAATGACTTCATATTATTGTAATAAACAAGTTTATTTTTATATCTTAATAACATGACAGCAGTGAGTATTATTGGTAGCTGACAATATAAACTATTAATGATAAATTTCAGTGTTTTGCCGTGTAATGGAAAGACTTTGCAATGTACCGCTCCTGAGGACACCTAAGTTATCTGTAGGGACATATACAACTTGAAGGACTCAAGGGTTAGGGTTAGAATTAGGATAAAGCCCTGAGGGTGGGGTACATTGGGAATTATTGACTTGAAAGTTATAAAATCCATCAAACATTTTGTGAGAATTACGAAAATTTATTTTGCAATAAATTGTACAAAATCGCAAATCAATTGAATTTCTTAAATAGAACAGAATAATTGAAAGTACATATAAAAATGTCTTTATTCTTTGAAATTAATGACATAATTTATGGTGGTGATATGAATGTTTTATTATAGCTAAGGGGTAGGATGAAATAAAAAGATTTAATGTAATGTAATTGGACAAGTTGTTGAAAATAATTTTTCAACATAACATAGGCACACATAATGACTGAAATGCTGAATCACTGTGATTTTAAGAATAAAACTGTATCTTGGTTAGAATGAAAATACAACACTTCCATGTACAAGCAGCTGTGTCATATCAGTACAGATAAAGTATCAAAAAAAAAGTTGAGGAAAGTGAAAAGTTAACGTATTTTACCAAAACTATGAAATAATCACTTCTTTGAATAAATGAATGTACTTAATATTGTTGTTAACAAAATTATGCTTTGAATTCAAATTGCTGTATGGATGTTATGGTGTAGCATGATAATTTTTGATCATCTAGTCAGTAAGGGTAATCAACTCCAAACTAATAATTGATGAAAGGGCACTTAGTTTTAATGACTTGCAGCATAGTCAGCCAGATTTTGTGTGAGACCGGAATCTCGTCCTTTGATATACTCCAAAATACAACAATCTTAAATCCTGGGTTAAACATCTAAGAAAATAAACTCCCTCCTCCTTCCTTGGCTAAATCGGCCCTAGTGTGTAGGAGATCCATCAACGGCAGCCAGATTTCATGAACAATCTCATTAATACAGATCAGGAAGCATGTATGGTATGTAGAGTGCAAGTGTTCAGATATGAAACAATGCGCAACAAGAGTGCATTATCTGACTAAACATCAACCGCACATGGACATTGTACCGACCAACCATGTTCAACTGATTCTGTGTGAATGTGTACACTTATTTCAGGTATTGTTTTCACTGTTCACAAAACATTTACATATTACCGTACTATTAAAGATATCGCAGCTGCAGGACCACTGACATTGTATTCTTTATAGATCGAAAAACAAGACGTTGGCTTTGAGATGGAGTTGCGAGTTAGAACTCAAACAGGGGTGCTACGTCTTGTACCATAACTTTAAAATTTGGTATTTCTTAGGTTACAAGACAAGCATGGTCTTTAAAATTGAGTACTGACTTTGTATTGTATCTGCATTGTGTGCAGGCAATATATAGACAATGCCATGGACTAGGACAATTTTTCAGAGGATGCCCTGCAAGAAAAAAATTGGATCACAATGCCATATAGCAGAGCACCTGCTACACAAGCATCTCATGAAACAATATCAGGTTTGAGCAGACGAAAAATAGAGTCATGGAATCTACCAACCATTGCAGAGACACAGGTCACAAAAATAGGAGAGGGTGATGAAAGGATAGGACTTACTAAATGCCTTCAAAAGTAGAGACACCTCCCCAAATATATGTCTACAGATAATTTGTTGATGTATTTCAAATCAGATAAAGCCCTCATACTCCATCCCACAATGAACTGTCTTGGCCTGAGGCCTCAAAATTTATCTTGGGTCAGACTTTATAACCTTGAAGAGTCCTTATACATTGGCTTTATCTATTCATAAAGAATCAAACTGAGCTATAATAACTTGTACATGCTTTTACAATGTGTATAGGATAAAACTGAAAAGTATTTTTTTGTTTTGTATTGTTTAAAACAATATCTTTAAATACATTAAATTAGAAGGAGTATTTTTACACAGTGATTACTTTTTTATCTGGACAAAAACCATTTAGCAACACATATTGCAGGTTTAGCAACTAATTGATGTATGTCAGAGAGGTGCTTTGCAGAGAACTAAAATAATATAATTTTAACGTTGTGATGACAAGTTTCGAGCTGAAAGCATAAAATGAGAGTTGGATGAAAAAAACATGACCACAAAATGGATGTATCCAATGTAAAGTGCTCTTTTTAAAACATCTTAAAAATTAATTCAATCATAATACAAGTGGAATGTTTTAAACACTTAAATAATATGTACACAACTAATTAACATGCATGCATGCATGGACAGTGGTTCTGGCGATATGATGTGTACATCACCAGTCTTTGATTGTCACTACAGGATTGCACATAGAAAATCAAATGACAGATTGTGGGGATATCCAGAATGTATGAAAGGAATAATGCAGTGAGATATTCTTACTACTGCACCTGGAGGGATGAAGGAAGTGTCAACGCAAAAACTATAAACCTATAATTATGAAAAAAAACGTGTATTAAGCATAATCAATATATAACCAATGGTTTTTAATTTTCATTCTGTTATTTTTATCTGTACATACTGTTTAACACAGCTACAAAACAAAGCACATACTGTAAAACCATTTATTTTCACTAGCATTTAATTTAAATATATTTTTGAGCAATTTCACTACGTTTTAAATTTACAAACTTGGCAAGAAAACAATGGATATAACATGCTCACAGTGATTTCATTTAGTGAATTTTTCTTATAGCGAAATTAAAACCAGTGAATAATTAATGAATTTACAGTACCTTATAATGCTAAAATCAGTGTTTAGGTTTGTTTCTTTTTGTGACTAGACATACTACTTTTCTTTTGGATTGCTAAAAGAGCACATTTTATTTGTTGTGTGAGAAAAAGCTATAATCGTATAAAATAAATCATTTGCAGTCGGAAAATATTTACAGTTACAAATTTCAGCATTCCAATCTATTTGAAAATTAATAACTTACTCCAATTTGGATGCATTACAAACCAATTTGTTTAAAAGCAAATTATAGCCTCAGCGTTTCATTGATCGGATGGCACTTGCTGTCCTGATATTTCTTCAAGTTTTTGTTTATAAGTGTCTGCCTCCATTTGCTTCAAGGCTAGTTGATGTTTGTAGGTATCTGCTTGTTTCTGTACTTCATGCAGTTGCTTTTCAAGCAGTTCTTTCTCCACAGCAGACTCCTGATTTTCCTGTATACAGAAATCATCAAGGTTAGCATATTCAGGTTACAGGGTTTTTACTATAATAACATTTTAAGCAGGGCAGCTACTCAGACTTATTACCACAGTCAGTGTTCTCCTTAGATAAACTGCTCAGGGGAGAACCATGTTGCTACTCTGACAAATGGCCATGGACAGTATAGAAGAGGTTGATGGTTTGGCCATGGACATTTTAGAAGAGGTTTAATTAAGGCTTCGCCATGAACATTATAGAAGAAGTCTATGGTTTGGCCATGGACATTATAGAAGAGGTCTCTGGTTTGGTCGTGGACATTATAGAAGAGGTCTCTGGTTTGGCCATGGACATTATAGAAGAAGTCTATGGTTTGGCCATGGACATTATAGAAAAGGTCTCTGGTTTGGTCGTGGACATTATAGAAGAGGTCTCTGGTTTGGCCTTGGACATTATAGAAGAGGTCTCTGGTTTGGCCATGGACATTAAAGAAGAGGTCTCTGGTTTGGCTTTGGACATTATAGAAGAAGTTTATGGTTTAGCCAAGGACATTATAGAAGAGGTCTCTGGTTTGGTCGTGGACATTATAGAAGAGATTTATGGTTTGGCCATGGACATTAAAGAAGAGGTCTCTGGTTTGGCTTTGGACATTATAGAAGAGGTTATGGTTTGGCCATGGACATTTTAGAAGAGGTTTAATTAAGGCTTCGCCATGAACATTATAGAAGAAGTCTATGGTTTGGCCATGGACATTATAGAAGAGGTCTCTGGTTTGGTCGTGGACATTATAGAAGAGGTCTCTGGTTTGGTCGTGGACATTATAGAAGAGGTCTCTGGTTTGGCCAGGGACATTATAGAAGAGGTTTATGGTTTAGCAAAGGACATTATAGAAGAGGTCTCTGGTTTGGTCGTGGACATTATAGAAGTCTTATGGTTTGGCCATGGACATTAAAGAAGAGGTCTCTGGTTTGGCTTTGGACATTATATAGGAGGTTATGGTTTAGCCATGGACATTATGGAAGTCTTGCTTGGCTGCATTCAAAAACTCAAATCAGGATAACATGGTGACACATTATGCCAAAATCCAAACAAGATTCATAGAGGTCAATTTGAAATTGAGAAGATAAACCAACAATATCATTATGTTAATTAGTATGTTAAGTAAGAAGCAAATGAAATGCAAATTACCTACAATGTTGATTTTCCCTGTCTTGAGAGGACATATAGTTTAAAACATTATAGAAACTTTGTATTCATGGTATATGGCATTTCGCTGAATGATCATTTGAATAAACTATCGTTTAGGTATGAATTGATGTAAATATTGTGTGTAATTGCGTATAATTGGCTTTTGTATAAAAGAAATTAATTTTAGAGATTTAAAGGCAAGAAAAGTTTAATAAGCAGGACATGATCATACCCAATTGGGTCAAGAGATGCTGTGGTGCTTTTGAACGTTAGTCATGCTCCCCAATATAGTACTATGAATTGATAACATTTTGCTATGTATTTCTTGTATTAGTTAAACAAATCATTTGTGATTGATGAATACAGTCAAACCTGTCTGAAAAGGACAGTAAGTGGACTGAGGTAAACTGTCCTTGGTGGTCTTTATATGAAGGTGGCCTAATTTATTCATTCAATCACGAATATTAATTAGGGCGGGGATTTTAAGGGAGATCATAAGCTAAACATAAAAGCAAACCCACACATTGTACAATAAGTAGGTCTTTTTTTTAATAAAAGTCACTCATTTTCATCTGGATAATTACACAGCTTTACTTTTTTACTACAATTATATCATGTAAATTCACTGGAACCAAATGATTCTGCCCATGGATTTATTTGTGTATTTAATGCATAAAAACAATGCAACGATTGGCCGCATTGGCGTTCCAGCTCTGTCTTTCACACTCTCGCCATGCAGTCTTATTCCCCAGTCTCTTACACATATTCCATCACAGGCGGTGATCAGTACCATTGTTAGTATTGTACACTGTGTTTGACTGTGTCCAAACGGGAACTAATAAACAAATTTGTCCAAACTCATGACGATTGATCCAACTCTCGGTTGTTGAATCAGAAAGTCAAACGAACCGGAAATGAACCACAATGAACATACACGCAATTTTACAGTTATTTGTTGCAAGCATTGACGTGTCAAAACTGCCCAAATGAAACGACTTTTTCCCCGATTGTGTTATTATTTATTTTACCTTTTATAAGCAAGAGGATCAAAATGAAAAATATCTTTCATTGATAATGACCCTGAGATGACCCCTCAGTAACAATACATTTTGCTCATGAGCTAGCCCGATCAGCCTAATTTATAACGATCAACAACAATCAACATGGGAGCCAAAATAGGTTGGATTTTGCAATCCCACAAAAACGAACGTTTTATTATTTTGTTTGGATATTTCATGTCGACAAGGTAAATAAAACATCTCTCATTTAATAAAACTGGTTCATTCATTGTTTACGAGATGGCAGGAATTTGCTCTTCATGTGCGAGACAGTCCACAGAAGTGCCGATGGCCGGCTGAGGATCGATAGTATAGTACCGATCGGAACAAGCTAGTTTTTCATTTCAAACTTTGAATGAAACAGTTTTAATTTGTTGATAAAATGTTGATAACATCTTTCCAGTCTCCAGACGTTATACATTCAGATGATATTTTTTTCACAACTTCACAATGAACACCCCTGTCAATTACTAGTAACCTGAAAGATTGCATACTGTTAAATCTGAACGTAACAAGTGGCCACTTTCCTGCTAGCAACTCACAAGTAGCTATTGTCTTTTTGCTGAGACCGTCTGATGGAAATGTTGGTGGGCGTTATACAAAAATTCAAGTGTGAATAGGTCTACAATAGGGTGGTCGCTAGTCGCGTTAGACAGGTGGTCGCTATATCCAGTGTCTTTAACGTGTAAATTGCGAAGGAACTACACACAGGCAGTCGCTATGAGCATACGGCTGCTCTGCACAGGTGGTCGTTAACACAGGTTTGACTGTAGTTGATGTTTAGGTATGTTAAAGACACTGTTTTAGAACAATAAAATTCAAGATGGCTTACTTCCGTGTCTCAGTAAAATATTGACCCAAACCTCTTTCATCCCAGTTCATATTTTTAACTAAATAATAAATTCTTAAACATTATATTAGTTCACAATACTATATAACAGGAGAGGGAATCTATGTTAAAAAGCACCATACAAACTTTTTGACAGTTTTTTTACTCAGATCTATAAATATAATTTATTATACATATAAGCAAATTTTTCTATCAAATTAGATGTTTTGATAAAATGAACTTTTGACGAAATGGTCAGACCCATGTATTTAACCCATTGTACTGTAATTCACAGCTGTTCAAAAGTGTACGTTTGAAAATTTCATAAAAAATAAGTTGGAAAGATATTTACATTTCCTTACCGTTTCATCCATATCCTGCGTAACTATTGTGACTGTTGTTGGCATACCATCATTTGCCATGGCAACCATAAGTGGTGCTGAGGTGGTTGGTACTACTGTTTGTATGGATGAAAGCTGAGATACTGGAATGTCACTCTCTGATTGGTCAGCTACT